TGGTGGCTCTTCTCCTGAGGAGATTCTCTGAGAGGAAAGGTTTGGAGAGAGAGAAATGGTGCTTTCACGGGGCCGAGCTGGAGACCCCAGCCCAAAGCAGACCGTGTGCACCATTTGATGAAAGCAGCAAATTCAGAGGTTAAAAGAAAATGTCTAAAATCTGCCATAAAAACTAAAAGCATCCATTTGTAGAGATTGGTTGATAAACAATGATTTTGTAGTGCTGTTTGTTGTCTGTCAGCTGGGATTAGACGCAGCTGGTGACTCAATCTTTAATAAAACTCTCTTAAAGATTCATGTAAAATATATCCAATACTTTCTGTGACATTCAATAAAGACAGTGAAGCGCCTTGTGAGTGACAGACACACAGTGACAAAACAGACACACAGACAAAATACACGGAAGACACAGTCACACACACACAGTCACTCACAGGGACAGACAGATTCACAAGACAGCATTCTTCAAGCAGGAACAGATTCAGACTCATATAACAGACAGGTAGGGGATGGAGACACCGGAACATGAAGTAGAGAATCAAAATCGGGGCTCTCTCTTCATTAAATGACTCCAAGGGGAAGGGCTTTTTCTTTCCTTAATGTGACACTGATACATGATTGGTAACTCAAAGCTAATCACTATTGCATGGAATCCATGCAATACTTAGTACAGAATAAGTATTCAATAAACACAGCATTAACTTCTTTTCTTCATTTAAAATTATTGAGCTTGATAGTTATAGTTGAATATATTGGTTTAGCAGGACATTGAAAACCTAAAAGCTAGCATACAGGAGCTGGTTTTCTTGAGCAATCATTACTGACTGACAGAATAAGAAAATAAATCGCTTAGAGCAGAAATTCTTGGTGCCTGAAACCTGATAATGCTTCATGTCATATTGATAGGATTTTATGCAAGGCATTTCTATTTCATATTCATCAGTAAATTATTTCGCAGCCCAAGAAACATTCATACAGTACAAAAACCTCAGGGTGTAGCACTCGCTTAGGAAATTTCACTTATCCTAGCCCTGTTCCTTTTTGCTAGGAACACGACGATGGGCTAATCAGGGGAAGAAAGGGGAAGAAACAAGCCTGAGGGGTTCCCCAGGGAGAGGACAGCAAACACATGGAACATATGCTTGGCCTAGTCTGGAAAAAAAAAAGATTCTTGATTATTTTGTCTTTTAGTTACTGACACAATTATCAGTCAGTGTGATGCAACATGAAATGAGTGTTGGGATGAAATGGAAATCTCCCTGTTAGGACTCAGGAAATAAGCATGGAAAAAAAGACTATGTTGAGCAGGGGGGAAATGAGGTCTTTCAGAACAGAAGATGAACCTAACAGAGAGGAGCTGGTGATGTCTCAGGGCTCACCTCAAAAATCTGTTAGATTGCATTAGAAAATATCCAGTTGTTCCTATTCTAGTCTTTATCATTCGCCAAGGTCAGCAGGAAGGAACTGGCAAGTTGGGGAGGGATGGGAAGGTGAAAGTGAGTTAGCAAGTGGATGTCCTTCAGTTTGAGAAGTGTGACTGAGTGTGCTCCCACCACCAGAGGATCAAAATTATGAGGGACTATGAGGAAATAGTCTCATTCTTGTAAAATAAGACAATGTCAACAACAATACAATTATTTTAGACAAAACACACATGGTATAGCATTGTGTAGCTACTAATTGTAATGAACCCTAGCTACATTTTCCCCCTCTCCTACTAATTAAAAGTGAGCTATCAAATCCAGTCTCTGTATATCCCAAGACTTAAATCCACGTGAACTTGTAGGTTCCCTCATAAGCTTTTTTGAAATTGAGATCTATAATTTCCTTCCTTTGGGAGTAGCTAGGCCAGAGTGCCAAAATCCAGAATAGCCAATAAAATATGATATGGAAAAGCCTACATTTCTAAAGAACCATTTATTGTCTGAAGGGCCATTATTAGCCAGTCTGCCTTTCTCTTTGAACTTGGTGACTATAAAGTGAAGCAATTATATTAATACTGTTATTAACATGCTCTTATCTCTTACCCCTTCTACTTCTTACAGAACTCAAAATCTGGTCATATATCCAGTCTTTACCACACAGATTGATATGGATGGATAGATAGATAGATAGATAGATAGATAGATAGATAGATAGATGATAGACAGACAGACGGATAGGCGGGCAGACGAATAGATAGATAGATAGATAGATAGATAGATAGATAGATAGATAGATAGATAGATAGATGATAGACAGACGGATGGACGGACAGGCGGGCAGACGAATAGATAGATAGATAGATAGATAGATAGATAGATAGATAGATAGATAGATAGATAGATAGATAGATAGATAGATGATAGACAGACGGATGGACGGACAGGCTGGCAGACGAATAGATAGATAGATAGATAGATAGATAGATAGATAGATAGATAGATAGATAGACATATATAGATCTCTGTATGCAGAGAGATATATTAAGTTTTAAAATTGGACCCATGTGGAGAATACCAAGTCTGAAGTTTATAGGGCAAACCAGCAGGTTGAAATTCAGGCAAAAGGGATTGGAGAGAAGTTTCAATGAGTCAAGTGCTCACTGTATAAGCATGGGGACCTGAGTTCTAATCCCTAGGACCCTTATAAAAGCCTGTAACCACAGTGCTGGGATAAAAGGACAAGAGGATCTCAGAGGCTTGCTAGGCAGCTAGTGTGGCCAAAACAGCAAGCTTCAGGTTCAGTGAGAGACTCTGTCTCAAAAAATGAGGTGGAAAAGCAACCTGGGAAGGGTATCGTAACCTTTGGCTTCCACATGTTCCTGAATCGTGAATAAACCTACATCGTGCACACATATACATCAGCAGTCTCCAATACATACTCACCAAAGAGTTTGGAGAAGAGTCTCTTGGGTCTGAAATGTTAAGGCCAAGCTAGTACTCTGGAACTTAGAAGGGATTTTGTTTAGTCTCACAGCAGAATTGCTTCCTATTAGAAAGCCTTTGATTTTTGCTCCTCAGGCCTCGAACTAATAGTCTAGGGCTCGTTGGTACTATGGAAAGCAATTTGGTTTACTCAAGGTAAAGGTGTTTGACCAAACAACTTGGTACCATAGCCTAGCCAATCAGATACATAACATTGGTTGCCACAAACTACATGCACCTCGAAAAAGCTGATTTCATCATCACCAGTTCAAACCTGGATCCTGATCATTCTAACCTACGTTGCTTTAGAAGCCAGGGATAAGCTGAAAGGAATGTGCTGTTCCTCCGAAGACTTATTCAGGTAGCTATAAAAGTGAGCATGTGGCTGGCTCCCTTCGACTGTAAACTGGATTTAGTGCTTATCTTCTCCCAAACTTATGTTGGAATTTAACTTCTACTTTCATGACATTAACAGGTGTTTAGGGGATTTGCCTCCATGAATGAATTCATGTCATTACCGTGGGGTTGAGTTAGCTGTCATGGGAATAGTTCATCACCTTTTGCTGTCTCTCTTCCTGTCCCTGTTCTACTACTACATGATGATGTAGCAAGAAGGTCCTTACCAGATCAAGCTCCTTAACCTTGGACTTCTCAGCTTCCATAATTATAAGTCAATAAATTGACATTCAATATAAATGACCCAGCCTGTTTTAGACTAAATAGACTGAGGCAGGCTGCATCCTTCTACAGTGGGTGCAGAAATTATTCTTTTTTATGCTTGGCATGGAAAAGAGGTCATTTTGCCCCAACTGCTACTGGTTGTCATCTTGAAGACCTGTGAGAAATAAGACTGTTAAATAAAACTATGCCCTGCAAAAATGGAGACAATGTTCTATTTGAACTAAACTTGAAGTCATAACTTTCAACAACATAAAAGAAAAATCTCCAACATTTAAGTTAATTCATGTTGGAATATCTCTCCCCAAATAAACAGATACAGGGAAGGCCTGATGTCTCCTGCAAACCCAAAAGAGTCTCTCTTGAGCTTAAGACCATAACTTGATCCAAAACCCAGACACAGAGAATTGAAGAAGGTAGACTCAGGAAAGGTCTCTACCATGGCAAAAGAAGATTCAAATCTGAATCTTAAACACTCTGTGTGCCAGCTTTCTGTCACTATAAAAAGGACCTGAGATAATCTACTAAAATGGGAAAAGTCTAATTTCCTTCATTTCTGGATGTCCCAGAGCATAGTCCATAGTTGGTCCTTGGGCCTGCATTGAGGCCATGCAGCAGTAAGCCTTCTTTTTATTTACTAGTGAATATAAATGGGAACGCACATTGCCCCAGGTGCCACTGTGAGCCATCTTGGAGTATAACAAGAGGATCTGCTGTGGAGGACCAAGCCCAGTGGTACAGGCCTGAAATCCCAGCTATCTTGGATACTAGGCAGGAGGATGGCAAGTTCAAGATCTGCATAGTCTACAGTATGAGTTCCCAGCCACAAAGGGCAATTTAGTGAGACTCAAAAATAAAGAGCAAGCCATAAAAGGCCTGAGAGAGTGTATGGGGAAGCACTGGCCTAAGATGGGCAAGACCCTTAATTCATGTTCTTGTACCTGCAATGTTAAGTGGTTAATAACCTATCAAATTTTAGTACTTCATGAAAGATAGCATAGTTAGAAAGCAAGAGTTAAGAGGAAGAGTATGAAAATGGGAGTCATCTGGAAAGGTTGGCTAATAACTGGGAGTAATCACAGTGTGAGAACTAAGAAGTCTCAAAAAGACAAATATTGTATGTTTTCTCTCATTTGTGTACCTAGATATTATATAAATACAGAAAATCATGTATGTATATATGACATGAAAGTCAAATTAAAACTAGAGAAACAAAGGAGTTCAGTGGGAGTGTAGACAGATAAAAGGAAATATAAGAAATAGATAAGAATATACTTATCACTCAAGATGTGCACATATGAAAATCTCATGTAACAGTAGTATGCATAATGAATATATATACAGTAAGAATAAAATGACTAAAAACTTCATTTTAAAAGTCATTGAAATTTGAAGTTTCACTCTATCTATTTCCAGTCCACAGGAAAAGAACACATTTAAAGGTTATGATAAGGCAATGGTGAAAGAATTCTTTTTTGAGTAAGTACAAACAATAGAATTGAAATTCACTGCTATTAACTCAGAAATTTTCTTTTACTCTTTGCATCCTTGCACTCCAAAACCCTCCCATGCTAGGGATATCAACAGCTTCTTTTATAATATTTTATAAAACAAGTAGCTTCTGATTTCAGCCTCAGGGAACACTGCATTGTCTGCAGCCTGACTAGAACAAAGAATGATTGGATGATGGCAACACTACATGGTAGAACCCTCTAAGCATGTTCCCAGATCTTCCAAAGTGCTTTCCCAAATGTCTTTATGATTTTCTTCTGAAAGTGTAAGAGTCTCTTTAAAAATAGACACTGTAAGAGTTTTAAAAATCTTACATATGGCTAAATTAAACCTCAGACCATCCAACTTACGTAAAATAAATGAGTTGATCTATAGAATTTAGGCTTGGAATTGGATCTTACCATATGACTTTAATTTTAAGACTAGTAAAAGGAGACTTCTTCTTTTGTAGAAATATTTTTTCAATGTGGGAAAATTCTAGCAGAAATTTAATAAAGAGCTTTTTTATGAGAAATGAAAGCTTTTGAGCTTTCAGCAAGCACTGGGAGCATATGGTGTAAGGAAGGTGCCCTGTACATTTTCTAGAGTGGCCTAAAGTTCCAAATCCCTTAAGCAAAATCAAAGAATGTTTTTGAGTATTTTAATTACATTTTGTGAGTAGGTTTTTTTTTTGTGTGTGTGTGTGTGTGTGTGTGTGTGTGTGTGTGTGTGTGTGTGCGCGCACATGTGTGTGTGTACAAAGAGAGGTCATGTTAGGTGTCTTTTTCTGTATCACTCACTCTTCACCCTATTTTTTGAGGTTGGGTCTCTCATTAAACCTGACCTTGTCATTTCAGCTGGCCTACTTGGCCCAGTGAGCCCTAGACCCCTTATCCCCACTTGCTCAGTGCTAAGGTTACAGACACACATTGCCATGTGGGTTTGAGGGAGCAAAGTCAGATTCTCAGGCTTGTGCAGCAGGCACTTTGCAAAGTGAGCCACCTCCTCAGTCCTTAACCACCAAATCAAAAAGAGTTCTAGATCTCACTTTATGATCCAATACAAACTTATTTCAAGTGATAGCTTTGTTTTTCTGCTATCCAAATCGGTTCCCGAACTTGATCCCATAGTATTCATAGCACTTAGCAGAACTGCTTTCTGATGAGAAAGCAAAAGATTCATGAGGTTAGCATTAGGTCCCACTCAGTTCATAACACATAAGAGGAGGATGTAGGTTTGCTTTGGTTTTTGAACTTCCTAGTGTTTGATATCAACTCAACTCTATCAGGATATAAACCCCAAAGTTTGTCTTTTGAATTAATCAAGATGGAGTTACCTTTCCAGACATTTTTCTCTCTGTGAAGTTAGTATTTCTCAGTTGGACAGTTCATTAAGAATCCTTTTCAGATGACAATGAAACCTAGAAGCTCTAAGTGAGATATGACATTTCTCTAGGTGGAGGAAGGTCTGTCTAGCAAGGACTTTTCTTCACCCTCACTATAGCAAGCAGAATTTGAAAATGACCCCATGACTCTTACCTTTCTTTGTTTAACTCCCTCCTCTTGGATGTAGAGAAGAAATATGATTGTGTTAAGTTATATGGCAATTCACTCAATCAACTTGTATTCTTCAGTGTGGAAATGAGACATAGTAGTCATTCTCTGTGACACATCTAAACTTAAAATAAGATTATTCAGGTGAGTTTAACTAATCATATAGGCCCTTTAAAACATGTGTTTTCTCCTCAGTTGCTAAAAAGTCAGACTGAAACATGAAAAGGACATGCTGAATCTTCACTGGATTGAAGACGGGAGAGAGTCATGTGAACATCCTGCAAGAATGGTCTTTAAGAGAAGACAGCAGCCCCCCCCCCCCCAACAGTCACTCAACAAACAGGAGCCTCAGTCTAAAACAGAATTCTCACAACAACCTGAACCAGATTATGGATGACTTCTTAGGGCCTCAAAATGAAAATGTATCATGTTGGTTGGCATCCATGCTGGATTTCAGCTTTGTAAGGCCCTTTCCAGAATATTCCACCAGGTCCACCTAGATACTGACCCACAGAACTGTGAGATACAAAATGCCACTTCAACATTTTATTCAATGTTAACAAAATCATGTTGTGGCAACTTGTCATGTTGTAATAAAGAATTAACTATACTTATTCTATTACACGCTGAATTATAGAACCAAGCCCAAGTCCATATCAATACTTCTGTGTATGTGGCATATATATATATTCAGAGATGAAAATTAGCTAATTAAAGAAAAGTCCCAACTATAAATCTGGAGTTTTTGTACCTTATCTGGTATTTAATTTTCATATTTGAACAATAATGTTGATTTGCATTTGGAAGGCCTATCTCTAATAAAGTCTCTGATACGTAATGCTAATCATCCTTTAATATCCTCCATGCAAGTGCTCAATTACATATTTCAGTGCCTTTGAATTTGTTTCTTTGGTACTGAGAGCTGCCTATTCAGCAGTAACCTCCATTCATATAAAGAAATACCCAGAGACCTTTATTATGTCATAGTAATTCAAATTAATTTGTAAGAGGCAAGCTCTCAAATCTTGCCATTATCTCTGTTGGAAATCCACTAAAGAACATAATTTTAGAGATCTAGGAGCCAAGCTCATTATTTCCCAAAGCACAGCTGTCATTTACACTAGCTCACAGCAAGTTCATTCAGTAAGATAAAGCTGCCTTTCCATCCATTCATTCATTCATTTCCTGGGTAGTTTGTTTGATTGTCCATCAAGCCACAATTTGAAACTAATTGCGTTTCCACTGTGTGCCTTCCAGATTCCTTGTGATACCCTGAGTTACATGGAGGAAGCCATGTGTTCCCTTCTCTAATCCCAAGGCTGTTCTCATTAGCTTCTTTTTATTTTAGCCATAGTAAAATTTATAGAACATGAAATTTGCCATCTTAAACATCTTAACAGTATAATTCAGCATGCCTACACTGCTGAAAAGCTGATCTCTAGAGGTCTTATACCATTGCAAAACACAGTGCTATACCCATAAAATTCCTCATCTCTCTTACCCTCAACCTCTGTCTGCCACCTTTGTTCTTTCTGTCTATATGAATGGACTGCTCTAGGCAACTCATATTAGTGGGATAATATAACAATATAAACTATGATATAAAATATAACTATCTTATTTGACTTAGTATTATGCCCTCAAGAACCATTCATATTGTTACAATGTCAGAACTCTTATTTTTTTATGATTCTCAATGCTCCATTTATCTGTTCCTCATGTATGGATGCTTGAATTGATTCTACTTTTTTGCCTGTTGTGAGGAATTCTGCCCTGAATGTGGGTATATAAATATCTCACTAACTTCTTAATAGTAGGGTAGGTTGGGAAATGGAGATGGATCTAGGAGTAGGAAGATGGAGGGTGGGTGGTGACAATACATTGTAGGAAGTTGTCAAAGAGCTAATAAAAATTTAAAAATAAATGAACTTGTTTATATGGCCTGTCTCATCTGTCGTGAGTACTTTGAGCATTTTGTTCAGTGTGTATTTCCAAGGCCCAATCTCTCACCCAGTATGTTGTATTTTTTCAAAAAGTATTTGTTGAAAAACTAAATATCATTTTTGCTATTATCCCTGATAACTAGAATAGGAAAAGCGTTTCATTTGCTTTCAGATAGTTCAATCTTTAAGAACATAGATTGCACAAGAGTTACATAGTTACATGTGTAATAGTTACTAGTCAGGAACAATGAACCATAGACTGCATAAGAGTTACATTGTTATACATTTAATAGTTACTAGTCAGGAACAATGAACCATAGACTGCATAAGAGTTACATTGTTATACATTTAATAGTTACTAGTCAGGAACAATGAACCATAGACTGCCTAAGAGTTACACTGTTACACTGTAATAGTTACTAGTCCGGAACAATGAACAGAGGCTGAAGAGCACTGAGTAGTAAAGAGATCAGAAATAGGAAGCACATTCAGGCCAGGCAAAGGAAGAGAATACAGGAAGACAGCATCATCGAGCGTGGTTGTAGAAAGGCACACTAAGTCAGGTGGGTGAGCTGGCCACAGTGAGGGATGAAGCTGAGAGAGGGAGAAGACTCATGGTTTTGGTAAGCAGTGCTGAGGAACTTGGACTTCAGTCTGAACACTTATTGGGAATCCATGTGGCATTCTAAGTTGAGTACAAAATGAGAAGATTGCCTGATACCTAAAGTGACAAACTGCTTAAGAATGCTTGCAAATTCTGCCTAGAACACAAATTAACTAAACTGACAGATGAAGAGTGATTCAAAACCCAACAAATGCAGGTACCAGGGCTAAATGAAAAGGTGGGATCTGGGGTCTGTAGTGTGGCTCTAGCCCTCCTGTGAACTAAGTTACAGATTAAGATTTGCCCTTAAGAATACTGCAGAGAGCAAAGAAGAATTCCTATTCATCAAAAGAAAGCAAAATCTCAGGCTCAACAGAAGATGAAATTTCTCCTTGCATCGCTTCTGAGTGGACTCTCAGGTGTGTCTGGTGACTGTCACCAAAGTAACAAAGGGTCATCCGTAAGGACCGAGGAGCTTCACCAGGACTTCATTCCTATCAAAACTGACTATATTTCCCTTTGGCCTCCCTTTGGCTTTCTGCAATTTCTGCAGTTTTTTTTTTATGGTCAACAGTGGTCTGAAAATAGTAAATGAAAAATTCTAGAAATAGGGAATTAATAAGTTTTAAACTGTGCACCATTCTTAAAGAGTATGATGGACTCTCCCATCTGTCTCTCCTCCTCTCAGCTGACATATGAACCTGGGCTATATTAGTGACCCTTAAATTATTTAGTAGCTATCTTGATTATGGACTGACCATCACAGCACCACAGTGACTGTGGTCAGTATCCTTTGGTTTCCTCAATAATGTCCCCACAGTAAATGGTACTGAAGCTGACAATTCAGACACATGGAGGAGAATCTGTAAAGTCACTTCTTTATGTGACAAGGTGGCAGCTCTCATTTAAGAGGAAAGAAAAATGTTTTATGTTGAAGTTTGCAAGCTGAGGTATAAGACATTGTAAAATCAAAACAACATTGACATAAGTCTCATTATGTCATATTGTTATAATTTTTTTCATTTATTAGTGTTAACATTTTTTCATAGGTATGTATAGGAGAAAACATGATACAGACTGAGTAGATTATATTTAGGAACATATATAAGAAAAATTTTTTAAAGAGACCAGAGGCCATTGAATTTAAGAGGGCACATAAGAGGCGCTGGAGGAAAGAAAGGGAAAGGAGAAATGATGTGATTGCATTTTAATTTCAAAAAATAAAAAAATAATAAAGTAAATCTATATAACCCATTAGGCAGCTGACAGGGCTAGAAATAACTATGGTGTGCTAATGTGTGTTTTTCTATTGAACTGGTGTAATTAATTTCTCAACAATGCTCCTGTAAGAATGCTGTGGGATAACCACTCTATATGCTGTAAATATGTTTTATTACCATTGGTTAATGAAGAAACTGCTTTGGCTATAGCAAAGCAGGATAGAACCAGATGGGAAATCCAAGCAGAGATACAGGGAGAACGACAGAGCTGAGAGAGATGGCAACCAGTCACCAGAGGAGCAAGATGTATTAGAACACAGGTAAAGCCATGAGCCATATGCCAAAGCATAGATTAATGAAGTAGATTAATTTAAGTTGCAAGAGCTAGTTAGTATACATCTGAACAATAAGCCAAACAGATCATAATTAATACTGATCCTCTGAGTGATTATTTTAAAAGTGGCTGTGGTACTAGGTGGGACAGAAAAGCCTCCATCTACATAAGACTATAACAGACAATATTCATAAACTATTTTAATTTATAATTATGTTAATATGATATAAAATTTTAAAATAGTGCAATTAAAAATGGATGCTATCCTTAACCTGATTATCACAGTTTTATAAATAATGCTTTTAGTTTGGCAGAGCTGATTCTGGGCATTTTGTTTGACTGTGAAAGCACTGGACAGACAGACATAAGACTTATTTTTAAAATATATCTAATTGCTTGTTTTGTTAAAGTGAAGTGGACTTGCAATGCGATTCATGGGATTTCAGGAAGAATGAAATTTTGGTCATGTTGTGTTTGGAGAAGAAAGTGTGGGAGGAAGAAAAGATTTTCAAATGAGGGAGTGGGGCAGTCAGGGTGGGGGGGGGACACAAAAGGGCAGCAGCCTAAGCATTAATGGGAAATACTTGAAAATGCTGAAATTCAGGAAGCCTGATTTAATTGTGTTCCTCCCTGTGCTGAGGTTTTCCGCCTTATGTAAAAATCCTCAGACAAAAGATGGCTGACACAATGAAGACAAAGAACCATTCAAGTGGTGGAAAGGGAGGAAAATCCTTGAGAGAATCAAAAACCATGTTGGAAAAAAAGATATTCAAGACAAGTCATGGAAAACTTCGAAGAAAAATTAAATGCCATCCTAAGAGTTCCAAGAAAATCAGAGAGGGGCTGTGTGTTTTCTGTCTCTGTATTGTTTATTGCTCTAGTTGGAGGCATGAACCTGGGACAGCAGGGCCTGAAAATGAGGCAGACTAAAGCCTCATGCAATAGTCAACTTTATTCAGAGCACCAGACAATTTATACTCTGAGGGTTAAAAAGAGTCACCTGAGTAAAGTGTACAATCACTCACAAAGGCAAGCTGCACATGGCAAAGCATGTTTTCCCTTAAAGGTGTCTGAACAAATAACAATAGCCAGTTGCAATGAATAAACTAAAGTGAACTCACTCCTATCCACTACACCTGGGAGGGGCACAAAAGCGCATTCCAAGCACAATTCCATGTTTTTTGAAGAAACTGAGGTCACAAGACCCTTGCCTTGTGTTCTTGGAGTTTTCTCACAAGCACTCAGAATTCCCCTTGCATGACTCCATCTTGGACGGTGTTCTGACACTATAAGACATGAAGCCTGTTCTTTTGATTGGAAATGAAAGGAAATAGGGACTCCAGAATCCTGGAAGACTCAGGAACTGTTAGACTCTATAAGCCACCAGTCTGTTTATGAGTAATCAAAGAAAATATAACC